TTAAGGATTGGCTGTTATTTAATAGTTTTTATAATATTAATGAATATTTTACTAAAAAAAAAATGTACTTGACAACCTATACTAAAGATGTAATTGGCACTTTAGCTGTTAAGTTTTATTTTCTCTTTATTGTAATAAATTATGTATGTATTTGATTTATAATGAAAAGAAATATAGTGTACAATGAATATTTTTTTGACATTGTTAATAATTTGCACGCCGACATAGAGGCAGAATGTATATGTGAAATATAAATCTCTTTCATTGAAAACTACCTACGTTCTAGCAAAATAAATTCATTTAATTTCATTTTATTACTATTTAACAATAAAGTACAAATTATGTCATTCTGTAAATAAGCGTGTATATAATATAAAGAGGTGTAAATACTCACATTTTTTTTAATGGATGATAATGGAATGGTAACCCCACCCGCGCTGTCGGTATAGACCGGCGGGGCACCAGTAAAGTATGACAGGTGAGGATGAAGCAGGTCAGTTAGCCCATCGTTACGAATTCAACAAGGAACCACGTGGAGGTCGACCTAATAAGACATATTGCTAGCAATGGGGCTGTCAAACTCCTTTGCTAACAATCCCTTTCCCCCCAAAAATACTCACATTTGGAGGGGTCTCGTTATTTCCTACCATTTGCTGTAGAGATCATGAGCCCGTGAGGCCCAGATGCTAAGCATTTTTATCAACAGATCGCAACGCGCCTTATCGAGGCTATTCGGTGGCCCAAAAGCTGGTAGCTACTTTGCGCAAAAGACAAGTTTGGCGATCCAAAGAGGTAATGCTACCAGTGTTTTGGGTACGCAGCCTCGATGTGGTGCGTTGGGAGACTATTTATAATTTGTTGTTAATGTTGTTATTTAAAATATTGTACAAGTTTAAATTATTATATAATACTAAATTTATAACATGCAATATAATTTTAGTGTATATTCTGAAAAATATTTTTCAGCCACAGTTTTGTTCAAATATGTATATAGCAATATGTTTAATAATTATATACTATAATTATATATTATAATTATATATTATATTTGTCCACTGCTGGACATAAGATTTCCCCATAAGTGGAGTTTTGCCAGTAGTTGCCACGCTTGGCAGGCGGGTTGACAACCGCAATTAGGCTTTTAAAGATCTTTTAATAGGGATGCTTCTGCTCATCCCTCGCCCTCCTTTAGTCACCTCTTATGACACCTACGGGAAAAGAAGGGATGGCCCATTCTATGCCGGGGCTCACATGGCGACACACACACACACACACACACACACACACACACACACACACACACACACACGCACACATGCGCGCACGCACGCACGCACGCACGCACACACATTTATTGTGTGTATACATTTTCATTCATTCATATACTGAAAATCAATTAAACCTACAATTAAATATTTGTCATTTTAAGTGGTTTAAAAAATAACTAATTCAAAATTAGAAGCTCATCTCTGTACGAATTTAGCATAACCGGGTTGCTAATGAAAAGCAGAGGTGAGACGGCTGAAACTCAGTGCAAGGGTCACGTCGTATTTTCATTAGAATATTACAAGATGTAGGTTACATTTTAAAGCTGTGAATCTGCTGTTTTGTTAATAACACATGTCGTGTTCACCTTCTGTGATGATTATTATTGTCCAAACATTATAAACAAGCATCTACTCGTGACTTTGCCTGCGTGACTATGACATGTTCATTAATCCGACAAGAATTAACCATGATGGTTTCCAGGGTAACCGCGTGGAAGTCGACCTGATAGGGTATATTGCTAGCAATGGGACTATTTGATCTCATTACTAACAATCCCTTTCCCCCATTGTGATTGGTTAAGCCATTAAGACAATATATGGTAACAAACACTTTCACATTTATAATATTAGCAAGGATTTATCTTCAGGCTTAATGGACTTCAAAGTGGTTAGTTCTGAGAAATACAAGATATTTGCCTCTCAAATGTGACAGACCATGTACAGCTCGAGGCGTGAATCAGGAGTGATTGACATATATGCATGGAACACGATTACACGATATGGGAAGAACATCCGAAACCAATATATTTTTCTAATCCTATTATGAGCTGAGAACATTACAATACATCATTGCTTATTATGACTAACTCATCTGTCATGCTCAGGAACGGTTGCCATTTATGGGGACTAGTCCACGCATGTATTGGGGGGAAGAATTTATAAGTAATGGGGTTTATTTGATCCATTGCTAGCAACACACCAAATCATTGTTTTGGGTTCTATTGCGTTCATAGAGCCCCCCTATTATAGTTTTTCTTATATATCTTCTATATACAGACAGCGACCAATTACGATTTTATTATATACTAGCGACCCGCCTCGGCTTCGCACGGGTGCAATGCTGATACTAAATATACCTACCTACCACAGAATGTCCTTAAAAACAACGTTTACAACTTTTTTGTCATTAGACAATACAAACATAATAAAGTGCTATAGAGCGAAGCATGGCCTTCATCGCGGTACTTATAGGCACGTCCCGCCGGCCGAGCCGGTACCGCCGCACTGCTATGTCCCAGCATTTTAAAACTGTAATATCTTGGGAAATATTCTTTTAAATTACATGCTGTAAAGGGCCATATTGGCCATATATATATTATATTAAATTGACAATGTATTTAAGGTACTTAATTGGATAAAAATTAATGCTGTAATGCTTAAAATCACTTCATAAATAAACCATTTTTTCCCGTAAAATGTAAAGGATAAAAAATGATTATTGTGGATTATCCTTAAGAGATAGACATATACCATCGCGGACTTTTTTGTTGACCTTTTTTAAAGTGTACAATACTGTAATACATTATTTTTATTTATCTCATGGGGTTCAGCCAGTGTTTTGCAATTTAAACGCAAAAAAATATCATTATGATGTTTGATTTTATACTTTTCGGTGAGTGCATTGGTAAATCTGTAAAGCTCACCAAATAATTTAATATCAAATAATTTATACATTGTATAATTAGATTAACCCTGTTCGCCGCGCCGTAACTGTAAAATTACTTGCTTTGACTTCCACGAGACAGGCTTTGCCTAGTGTGGAGTCATAGCTATATTGTACCATAGGCTTATTTTGTTCAAGGAAATAAAGATATTTTTATTCACAAAGAAATTGTGTTTCACAAAAAAAAAACTGCAATTGTATTAAAAAACCAGTTATTTTGATTTAAAAACTAAATTACTGAACCGATTTTAATCAAGTTTCTATGGGACCAATCTGTAAGTATATCTTATCAGATAAAATTGAAGGAGTTAAGAAACTAAAAAAAAAACTATGAGTTATAAATATGAGGTAAGAAAAATAAAAAAATAAAATCAATTTTTACAAACGAGATTCTCAATCTCCTTTTTTTATGCATACTTAGAATGGCAAATAAGCTGACGGCCAACCTTTTGGAAAGTAGTAACTAACCGCCGCCTGTAGACATGAGCAGTACTATGGACATAACAGAGTATACTGTTTCGCCCATGATACCCCCCATGCGTTGCCATTCCTAAGGACTCAGGTGTTATGCTCCTGCACCCTGTAAATTCACAGTCATATTCCACCTTTCAAACCAAAACATAGCCATGCAAACACAACTGCTTCACAGTAGAAACACGAATGGGACAGAGGTGCCCAAGCAAACAACTTTTGTACAGTCTCTCTCTGGTAAGTCTGGTTTCCGTCTTTTTCAATATGAGTAAAAATAAATTCATGAAAAAAAAACATAATTTAACTTTAAGATTACTTTATTTAGTAAAGATTCGTGCTTGGCCACGTCATGTCTTCAGACGACATGCAAGAAACTGTAAATTAATGTAAAACTTCACACATTTACAGTACATACCTAGTAGCACTTGAACGCTGTCTCGCATTAGAGACTGCAACGTTACTATGTATATTGTTACACTTTATTAAATTTCAACTAGTATTGCAACTTGCAATGAATATTAATTACATTTTACAAGCTGTTAACTTGCAATGCATGTTAGTTAGTTAGTTTGTTTAGGTCAAATCTTGTAAACTGACTGACAACTTTTAGCCATTCGATTGTTCTAAAATTATGCACACATCTTTAGTTCGGGTGACAATATTGTTTCTAAGACATTTATTTAAAAAGTGAATTACAGAATATAATATATATATATATATATATATATATATATATATATATATATATATATATATATATATATATATATATATATATATATATATATATAATAAAGGTGTACAATTTGTCAGCAAGATGGCACCCCGCGGTGCGTGTACCTATCTGTTACTGTCCAGACAGGCAATGAACGATTCAATCGTTCATGATAAACGAATAAATGAAATGAGAAGTTACTGCGACCAAAAGTAAGTGTACTTTGGCCCGATTACACTACATGTTTCTAAGACATTTATTTAAATAATGAAATATAAAATAAAAAAAATATAAATAGGTACGTCAGCGACAAATATTAGGCACTACTCAATATTGTAATATTTTCAAAATGGCCGCCGTCACAAGATGGTGGATCGTGTTTTCTTTTCGGCCCCCTTAACCGCAGTTCGTTTAAACGAATAAGTGTGTTATCAAAAAGTGTAGTAATCAAAGTGACCGATATAACCCAAGAGATAAGTAAGCTAAAATAGCAAATGGGGTGGCCATAATTGGAAAAGTCGACGTCTAATAGGAAAGAAAAGTTGTGGAACTTTCGACATGTGTATATAATATTTATATTCGTTACCTCATAGCCCCAGAAGCCGCTTTGAAAATGTAACTTTAATAATAAGTAAGAAATTTATTTAAGTAACTTAAACTATACATTTATATATTCACATTATTGTACGTATGCATATCTCTATATGTATTTAAAAAACGAACAGAGTTTCGTACCTCCAGTCAAACTGTTTATAATTACTCTTTTCCATTTAAAGGTTGCCTGGAAGAGATCGCTCTTAACGATAAGGTCGCTTACAATTTTCTTAATGTAATATTTCCTTGTTAATAGGGAGTTTACTATTGTAATCTTATGGAACAAATAATCAAATCTATCCTCTTTATATAATAATAATAATAATACTTTATTATGCAGACTACAATGCGGTCCAAATTTGTTAGTAACAATTTTCTTACAAACTATGTTATTAAAAAAAAAAAAAAAGAAAAACAAATTGATTTAATTAAGCATTTCACCCAGATGTGACCCGGCCGACTAGATCAGCATCTGAATGAAATGCCCAATTATAGGCGAGTTATATTTCTCGCCTATTATTTTTAGAATGCTGTTGGTGCTTGTCCTAACCCTGTTTAGCAATGATGCAGTCCTCTTTCTCCTTACAGCGTAGTAGTCATCTACGCGAGATTGAGCAAACATGCTAGAAGCGCTACAAAAGCGAGGTAGCCCCAACAGCACTCTAAAACTATTATTGTACTGGATTCGTAGGGCACTGAGTGAGGCCTGTGTGCAGTTAACCCACAGACTGCTCGTGTAGAATGTTTGGCAGTATGCTTTGAAGAGTGTGATTTTTACTTCTTCACTACAACGGGCAAACCTGCGAGCCAACATGTTACATCTAACAGCCAATGCCCTACGCTCCCTTTCGACATCAGTTTGATCTTTAAGGTCATCAGTAACATAGTGCCCTAGGTATTTAAATTTATGCACTCTTTTTATATTTGCTCCGTGTAATTGGATATCGGGCACGTGCGTGGGACATTTACCATTGGCCTTAAATATCAAATACTCTGTCTTGTTTACATTGTATTTTAGCCCATGACTCGCTGAGTACGTCTCACACATATACATAAGCTGTCTTAGGGCTCTAATCGTTGGAGTCAGCAGCACCATGTCATCAGCATAGCTAATGTTGTTGACACAGACATTATCTACGTGACATCCAACACGGCTACTGCTGAGTCCAACAATCAGATCATTTATGTACAAATTGAAGAGCTTGGGCGAGGTTAAACCACCTTGCCTCACTCCGCATTCCAGCTTATACTCCTCGGAAAGCGCATTTCCCCACCGAACGTTGTTTACCTGATTGGTATACCAATACTTCAATATATTAATAAGTCTACTACATACGTTATTGTCTTTAAGCTTTTCCCAGAGGATATCATAAGATACAAGATCAAAGGCCTTGGAAAGATCCAGAAAACATGCAAATACCGGCGTTTGTCTGCTTGTATAGTACTGCACAGTATGCTTAAGACTCAGAACTGCCAATTCGGTAGATAGCCCAGGACGGAAACCGAACTGAGCATCATGTAAATGTAGATGTTTGTTCAAATATGAGTCAAGCAAACTATCCAACACCTTAGATACAACAGTTGCCAGTGAAATAGGTCTATAATTGTTACAGTCAGAGATATCACCAGTTTTATTTTTTAAAATTGGCACAACCACCGTTTTAATTAATTTGATGGGTAAATACGCATGACTTAAGTAAAAGGAAAAGAACATTGATAAAACTCGCGGAAGATGCACTCCGGCATACTTGAGATGTTCTATGCTGAGTCCATCATATCCGGGAGACCTACCCCGCTTCATCATTCGAATGGCATTTGCCACTTCAGCGCTAGAAAAACGAAGCAGATCCTCACTTCCATCGCATTCAGCGTATATTGTTGATTGCGCTGGTCCCAATGGCGAAACAACTGTAAATTGTTTTTTAAACATATTTGCTATCATCTCAGGTGTGCTACAGTCCGCGACACGAGCAGGCAGACCAGGCCTTATATTGATGTTATTTGTTGATTTCCAGAATTTATTAAATTTTTTAGATCTGTGATGTGAAGCCACGATATCCATTTTAATCTGCTCTTGATGATTTTGACAACATCGTAATTTACTTTTATAAATTTTCCTGCTTAAACACATTTCTTTATATACAGGCCCGCACTGTGGTTTATTATAAAAGATCCATTTTTGATATTTAAGATTGGCCTCCCTGTATGCATCGCGGACATGTCTGTTCCACCCGATTACATTCTTTTTTACACATTTACCGTACACACAACTAGTTTGTAAAGCGGCGTCTGTTAGCACTTTAATAATATCTGAATACATTTTGTCTAAATAGCTTTTGTGCTCCGGTAACTTACAACTTTTATCGGCACATAATTCAAAAACTTCCGGAAAATGCATTAATTTAAATTTACTGTTACATAGATCATGGTATCTATTAGTTTGATCATTATTTCTTTCACCCCATTTAATCTTACAACTATTATACTGTGTCGTCAGTGACACTTTTTGTCTGACAACACTAAGATCACAATTCAAAATTAATGGCAAATGATCCGACCAATAAATATCCCGACCCACATTTACATCTGTAACCGTACTCCAGGCCGCCTGTGTAATAATACAGTGGTCCAACCATCGTGTACAGCCATGAGCGTCACTTATAAATGTATAACTTTGTGAGTCTAGTCCTAATAATTCAATGTCAGCACATGTCCAGTTTTGATCACTACAAAAATTAGATAACTCATTAGCAAATAATTCACCGGGATGTGCGTTAAAGTCCCCCAGTATATAAACAGCTTCAACATCCGTACTCTGAATAATCGAATTTATTTCACTTAAACACTGGGCGAACTCAGGTAAATTGTCAGTTGCGTCGGTAGGCATATATACGCTGAATACAAGTATAGATCGATCAGTGATCGAGGCCCTAATCGCCGCAAGTCTCACACTCTCACATTGAATAATAGACACTTCGTGAAACACGTTCTTACGCCATAACAGAGCTACGCCGCCGTATGGCCTTCCACGAAGTATTCCCGCGGATGTATCCACAGCCGACTTACCTGTATATTCAAATTCGTCGTGAACCTGTCCTAGGTAGGGAATATCATGTGGAAGCAACCAAGTCTCTTGAAGTGCCACCAGGTCAGTAGTCTGACACAAGCGTCTAACGTCTTCAATAGAACGCTTAATTGACTTACAATTATAAGTTACAAATTGCGTTATATCTTTTTTCTTATTCATTTTTATTATTATTATTTTCACCTTTACCAACTGGATGTTTTAGGTAGACATAACGTCTGAAAGATATACCATCCGGCCAAATTTCATCATTCAAAAACTGCTGTATTTTATTTTTAGAAACAAACAATTTATAACAATTGTAAGATCTTTCTTTTTTCGTGTTTATTTTATGTAAAGTAACTATATCACCTGTCTTCTTTTTTATGTACTCACTTATGTCCTCTTCCTTCGTATCTTTTGATACGTTAGATATAAAAAGTGGTACTTTAATTTCAGCTGCCTTAAACCTTCCGTTCGCATCCGTAGACGCCTTTCCCAATTGTGTCCTATAAATCTGTATTTCTTAACCTTTTTCTTAGTAACATACGTCCAATCGTTTTTTGTTACTATTGGTTCTCCTTCTTTCGTATTAGTTGGGCTTAGTACCTCTGCCATAGTACGTGATCGATCTCGATTCCTTCTCACTCCAGTGACTTTTACATTCATGGTAGGTCGCGCTCGAAACTGGTTTTTCGATTGATACCGTCATGCGCTGTTGATTCTCATAATCCAAAGTTTGTGTTGTACCCTCCATCACACTTTTAGTATTTTTTTGCGGTGATAAGATTTTGTTGTCACAAATTTTTTCATCTGTATTAGATACAGGAATATTTTGCAATCCCATAGGCCCACTATCACATGTAAAACTGTTTCCAAATTGCGCTCCTCGCTTTTTGTTTATATATTGAAAATCATTTATGACAGACGCATGCATTAAATTTTCCATACCCATCTTCAACTGATTATAGTCATCGACAGTGACATAGTTTTCATGAACGTGTTTAAGATCAGTTTTCAGCATTACAATATCTTTTAAAAGACCCGTAACATCTACATGGTCGAATGTGACCGGCGGGAGTTTATGCAAATCTTTGGCAACAAAAATAGGCATATCCTCGGTGTTCGTACTTTTTATTAGATCTATAATATCGTCCAGTTCTCGCACATTCTTCCCCTGCTTGCGACGTATCTTGCGTTTTGCAGTCGGTATTGAGTCGAACAGCATACTTTTTGCGGTCGATATGTCCTCCGGTGAGAAAGCACTATTACATATTAAATGTATACTTTTTTCGTCCATAACATCCACTTTGTTTATAATGAACGCTAATACTTCATTTATAACTACATTACACGAATTACATTTAATCACATTAGAGGCCATTTTTAACAGCTCCTTAATGCACCGACCGTTTGTTAGCGCGGTCACTCACTGACTTTATAATATTAATAGAAATATAATGTCAAATTCAAATCCATTTAATGTCAGACTACAAGATCAATTTGGTAGTCATCGTCATCACATCAGCCTTTAACTGACCAATGCTAAGCATAAGCATCCCCCTTGGAGGGTTTTGGTAGTAATTGTCACACTTAGTAGACGGATTGGTAACCACAGTTTAAACTTTACAGATGTTTTAAGAGGGACGCTGCTGCTCGTCTCTCACTCTCTCTTAGTCGCCTCTTACGACACTCACGGGAAAGGAGGAGGTGGCATATTCTATGCCGGGACCACAGGGTTTTTTACAAATGATGGCATCAAAACCATTAATCCGTACCTGAATGAACATTTCTGAGTAAAGTAATAAAGTGAGGATTTTTATTTTTATTTATTCAACTTTTTACCTAAATTGTAGCTCACAGGGCTAGTTTTTATAATTTATGCCAATGTTCCGCAACATGGACACAAGATGACGCCACTCCTGACCCCAGGTCAGAACGCAATAAAGCGGGTCATAACTCATACGGAACGGTACCGGGAAAGACCCAGCCGAAAGTGACACTGGTCTGTGCAAATGGAATGAAAAAATATATTGCTCTTTTATAATAAGTACCTGGATGAACGAGCTTTGCTCAATTTTTTTTTGGTTTAGTGTTGCTTATCAACGCCATCTATTGTCAAATAGCTTTAGTGTAACTTCTTTTTATAGATTAGGGGTTCCCAAACTTATTTTGTCTACGCCAGTGTGTGTGACTTGGACGCGGGAACAAACATCGACCTTTACGGCAGTTATTGAAAATATTAACAATCTTCGATTATTTGGGGTGAGTTTAGGTTATTATTTATTATTTTTATTGTTTATGTATGCATATCTATATCGACCGAGGAAAAATAGACAACGATAAGCGAATTACGGGAGCCCTGAACCAGCACCTAAGTGTGAAACGAAGTGGGTGATGAAAGTCAATATTCCATCGAAATTCCTCTATGTAACAGTAGTCTTAGACATATAAGTTGTTGTTACGTTATATATATATATATATATATATATATATATATATATATATATATATATATATATATATATATATATATATATATATATATATATATATATATATATAATTAATAGAAATAAGTTGCAAGCAACAAGGGCTGGGCATGATGAAAATAAATAAGGATCAAATTTTTTTTTTATATTATTAGTTATAGACATTTATAATTCTCTTTCATCTAAGAAAACGTGTCTCAGATTAAATAAATTAATCCCGCCCTCGCCCTAATGATTTCCATTATATAATAAATTTGTCGATATTTTTTCTTTAAATCCTTAATTAATCGTATAAGAATATTTTTTATGCTATTAATTTTTTTTATGCAACTTAAAATGGCAAACAAGCTGACGGCCCACCTGATGGAATGTGGTAACCGTCGCCTATAGACATGAGCAGTACTGTGGAAATAACAGAGTATACTGTTTCGCCCATGATACTCCCCGTACATTATAAAGACTGCTATTAGATATATAAGTCACAAATCCCACCCCATATGGAGCACTGTTGACACCAGGTACCCCCTAATAAAGTAGTGACAATACAAAGTAAAAGCTAGAAAGAATTGAAAGCCAAAACAATATTTTTTTGTTTTTTTTTTTCTGTCTCCTGTCTGAATTTTATTCCAACATCACCCAAAAACTACTGCATCCAATTGGATGAGATTTTCACAGTTATATTCGTGATGGTGTAACGTAAAATCTGGTGTAAATTTCATCTTTAAAAGTCATCCTGAAATGGCCTAGTCTATTCATAGTCGTAGCTAGGAAGGGACATTGAGGTGCAATGCTCTACCTTAAAATGAAAGGTTCCAAGAAAATTAAACAGATTTGCTTTTTCGAAGTCACTTAATTATGACTTCTGTCCTACCAAAAAGTTCTTTTGACCTACCTTAAACTTGGGTTTTTTTTTTAATGGGCGATAATGGTATGGTAACCCCGTCTGCGCTATTGGTATACACTGGCGGGGTACCAGTGAGGGATGACAGATGAAGATGAAAGTAGGTCAGTTAGCCCATCCTGACGAATTAAACTAGAATTAGTCACGATGGTTTCCAGGTGGAACCACGTGGAGGTCGACCTGACAGGGTATATTGCTAGTAATGGGGCTATTTGACTCCATTACTAACAATCCCTTTCCCCCCTAACCTTAAACTTGGGTCTAGCTACGGCCCTGAGTCTATTTCATTGAATAGTAGCCGATTTCTTTTTGTGGAGTACTATTTAATTATTGAGTCCTTCCATTACGAGTCAAAAATAAAATGTTTCTACTTTATAATATTATTTTAGATACAAATGTTTAAATGTAATAACATAATTATAATTACTCCTCTCCATCCAAAGGTTGCCTGGAAGAGACCGCTCTTAGCGATAAGGTCGCCCATTGTTTTCTCATTGTGATTATTTCTTGTAATTATTTTTATTTATAATAAGTTTACTATTGTAATCTTTTGGAGGTAACAATAAAGAGTATCTATCTAAGGTACCTGAACAGATTCTTTACGGATATTTATTAGGAAAATATACATTCACCTAATATCTATATATTTCAGTTACAATATCTATACATCTACTAGTCCTGTAACTAACATATTAAGAGTTTGTTATAAAAAAAAATAATATTGAACTTTAACGTAATAGAAAATAGTATTGTTTTATTTTACCTGTATTCAAAAATGCACCACCTACGTATTTCAGTTTGAGTCATAGATTATTTTATTTGCTCTTCTTATACAGTTAATTGTTTGTTATAATAATATTTATGTATGTATTTATTATATCGTCACCTCTATGGCAAATTTACGAATGCGCAGTTTTTTCAAATTTGACATTTCTTTAAAAATCTATATTTTGCGTCATATTACTTATTATGGCTTATTTTCAAATTTCTATCTTTAACGGTTAAAGAAATCAAGAAGCTCGAATCTATTAATATATTTTTATGATATACCCAAAGTAAACTTACTTAGCATATTTTTATAGTATTTTCTATAATAAACACTT